ACCACAAAAGAGTTGACACTTGTTTTCCCAGCCGCAACTTTGACTGACTAAAATGTCTTGTCTCTTTAGAGAAAGAAGACAAGAAACCCTGCAACCCCAAGAAGCCCAGTGCTGGTGAGAAAGGGGCGTGTTCCTAGAATGCAAAGACAAAGAACAAATCATTTTCTCTCACATGGGGCCAAGGACTTGAGCAACTAGAAAGAAGAGAAGTGATTGGGTCACTCCGGGTGGAGTCTGGTTTAATGCTGGAAATGTGTTAGGATGTGGACAGCATTGCATCTGGTGATTCAGGAGAGAATGGTTGCTGATGTGAAATGTTTTGGGGTCATTGGGACAACATCTCCGGGTGCTTTTATTCTAAGGATCTGAGTTACTCTGTCTTTAGATTTTCTCCCCCGCCCCCTTTTTCTTTTTTTTGAGATGAGGCGTCTCATTCTTTCATTCTTGTCTCCCAGGCTGGAGTGCAGTAGTGTGATCTTGGCTCACTGCAACCTCCGTCCTCGGGTTCGGGTGGATTCTCCTGCCTCAGCTGCCTCCCAGTAGCTGGGACTGCAGGCGCACCAGCCTGGCTAATTGTTGTATTTTTAGTCAAGATGAGGTTTCACTATGTTGGCAGGTGACCTGAACTCCTGACTGGAGCTTGGCCTCCCAAAGTGCTGGGATTATCGGCGTGAGCCACCACCTGGCCTTTGTCTTTAGATTTCCCTTCCTGGGAGAAAGCATTTGGTGCTGAGACCTCCCCCACCTCATCTCTCAACTTGGCCAGGCACACACCTCATTTGTTCTCAATGCTGTTCTTTCAAACAAAAGTCAGAAACAGAGGCCACATGATGGAATTGCCCAGAGGTCAACCCCACTGGTGGATAAACAGAGTAAAAATGATGCCCAAACTTACGGCATCACTGTCTTGTCTTAGCACTTCTGAGTTTTCTAATATAAAACATTAATAGCTCCACTTCATTATTGGACTTCCTGTCTAGAGTGTCAGCTCATGAGCAAAGGGACCCCGTGTCCCCAGATCCTTGAACTATGCAATTGTGCAGACAGCACCCAATGAGTAGGTGTTGAACGTCTGGATTTGTACTATTACAGTCTCCTTGAGGAAGGGACTGGAAATTCCCATACGTGACTCAGGATGGCTCAGTATGTGTGCTGTTGGGTGGTTCCAGCAACCATTCCTCCATCTTAGTTGGGTATTCAAAATCATTCTTCCTACTAGAAGACAAGATCTGAGGCCATGGTGAATTGTCACGTCCATTGCAGAGCACATGTGGGTTGCCAGAGCCGCATTTGAGACACCCTCTAGCCTAAATCTGATCCTGATCATCTGTCCTCTTCTCTTGGGGTCTGCCTTTCCAAGTTGTTAGGGACCTGGGAGGAGAGGGTGATGGAATGGGAGTCAACAGGAGAAAATCTGTGCAGGCGGAGTTAAATTTCACCTTGGTCCAGGCAACACAATTCATTTATAAATTACTTTATTTCTGTCTCTCTCTCCCCTGCCCCTCCTCACAGAGCTTCTCTTGCTCCTAGCTCTTTGTCTCTGTGTCTCTTTTGTTTTTTTACTCTTTTGATGGAGAAAATAGTGATGTAAAAATGGTCAGGAATTCACTTAAGATCCTGGTCAAGCTGATATTCAGAAAAGTATTCAGGAATGTGGGGCTGTGGTGTTTTTTCGATCTGTTCACGATCATTCCTTCCTTGTTTCTCTCTGAAATTTGGTATTAACTGCTTTTCCCTCTTTTAGAGATGACTTTGACTTAGGTCTTTGTTGTTGTTGAAGTGGAGGAAATGGTGAGTATTATCCGTTAATCTCTTCTGCTGCTGGCCTGCTTATTATCACCCAATTATGATCATTTCAGAGAATTCGCCATTCAAATTATACGAGAGGCCAGCTTTCTGATGAAACCTAGGGAAGAGGTATGTTGGTTTTGTTCTTGCTGTTTGTCATTGGGTTTTTCTTTACAGCCCAGCACATGTGCTTTCTATTTTAAAACTGACTAGCCTTTGGAAGGAAGGACATGAGACACGTGTGCCCTACCCTGGCCAGGGCTGACCTCTGAAAGCATGTGACCTGTGCAGTGGCATGGGACCCCATGGCATGTTATTGAGGTTTAAACATGGGCACCATACTGGTTTCCTGTTCACAATTATGCTTCGTCTTGAATCTTAACAGAATTTGAAAAATGGGTCCCACCTTTTATTTGGCCCCAAAATTCTGCAGCTGAATTGTGGATACCGCTTTAGTTTTTATTGAACATACTTGGGAGGTCTCAAAGAACCGTGGCTCAAAGTTGATGGGAGAAATTGGCAGGAGACTGTGTGTATGGGTATCCCCACCAGGACAAAGGCCAAGGTCCAATTTCTGTGGAGGAGCAAATCTATGTAAACGGATGTTTCATTTTCTTCTTTGCAAGGCACTGATAATTGCAACTCTCTCATCTTTCACAAACAGGCGACCCACCACCACAGCGAACCCACCCACACAAGCTGACCAAGTCAGCCCCCAGCAGGCTGGTTCCTCGGTAAAGTCTCACAATGTTGACCTATGTTCATCTCCATGTTCAGGAATTCAGTGATATTTATGTCAGCCTAGAGGAGGTGATTTCAGATAGTGTGTGTACTTACTGTTGTGCCTGTGCAGTGTAATGCCTGTGTTATGGAGTGGAAAATGTACCTTTCAAGTAGATATTCAGCTTAGATTTTATTTTAGTTTGCACTTTTTTTTTTTTTTCTTTTTTGAGACAGAGTCTTGCTCTGTCACCCCAGGCTGGAGTGCAGTGGTGCCATCTTGGCTCACTGCAGCCTCTACCTACTGGGTTCAAGTGATTCTCCTGCATCAACCTCCTGAGTAGCTGGAATTACAGGCACACACTGCCATGCCCAGCTAATTTTTGTATGTTTAGTAAGAGTCAGGTTTGCTGTGTTGGCCAGGCTGGTCTTGAACTCCTGACCTCAAGTGATCCGCCCACAGCAGCTCCGAAAGTGCTGGATTACAGATACTTGAGCCACTGTGCCTGGCTAATTTTGCTACTTTTACTTCCAAGGTTCCATCTTATGGAACTACAAAAATTGAATACAAGAATTTTAAATATAGACTTAATAAAGAAAAATGTTGGCATGCACATTCCTTGTATGGAAGCTAGTGTTTTAGAAGCTAGTATTTTTAGAAACAAAAAAAACGTCTTTTTACCCTTAAATATTTAAGAAAAAAAAAATATTACTTTCTGACATATTACAGCATTTTCAGTGTAATTTGAATAGCACCAGTTTTTTTTTTTTTTTTTTTTTTGAAGTGATCTGCTCTGTCGCCCAGGCTGGAGTGCAGTGGATCTCAGCTCACTGCAAGCTCCGCCTCCCGGGTTCACGCCATTCTCTGCCTCAGCCTCCCGAGTAGCGGGGACTACAGGCGCCGCCACCTCGCCCGGCTAGTTTTTTGTGTTTTTAGTAGAGACGGGGTTTTCACCGTGTTAGCCAGGATAGTCTCGATCTCCTGACCTCGTGATCCGCCCATCTCGGCCTCCCAAAGTGCTTTTTAGTAGAGACGGGGTTTCACCGTGTTAGCCAGGATGGTCTCGATCTCCTGACCTCGTGATCCGCCTGTCTCGGCCTCCCAAAGTGCTGGGATTACAGGCTTGAGCCACCGCGCCCGGCCAGCACCAGTTTTTTTTTTAGCTGAATGATTGTTGAAAGTTTATATGCTTAGGGTTTTTTGTTTACATATTTAATTTTTAACACAGAAATATATTAATGATGTCCACATCTTGTTGACATTTTGATGGCGATTAGTGCTAGTATTTTATGTATCTTTTTTTTTTGAGACAGGGTCTCACTGTGTTGTCCAGGCTAGAGTACAGTGGCATGATCATATTAAACATAGGAGCATACCACAGCCTCCAACTCCTGGGCTAGAGAGATTCCCCTGCCTCAGTCTTTCAAGTAGCTGGGGCTACAGGCACACAGCACCGTGACCAGTTAGTTTTTTCATTTTTTGTAGTGATGGGGTCTCAGTATGTTGCCCAGGCTGGTCTGAAACTCCTGGCCTCAAGCAATCCTCTTGCCTCAGCGTCCCAAATCTCTTGAGATTATAGGCACGAGCCACCTCACCCAGCCTATATATTAATCTAAATGAAATAAATTTTAAGCAAAGTTCCAAGTCTTTTGTTTATACTGCATTGTAACATTACTTTTTGCTTACTGATATTCCATGAACATTTTTTCATGTCACATAATCATTTCTATCGTATGACTTTTACTAATAATCATGTACTATTACATACTACATATATAATTATATACTTCCTTTAATTCTGAAAATGTTGTGTTTCTTCTGGCATTTTAGAATTATGAATTAACAAAGCAAATCTGAGTCAACTCCATGCACTATTTTTATTCCTTCGAAGAAATTTCTAGCATTCAAGTTGTTTAGATCAATGTGTATGAGTACTTATATAGCTTTTGACCTGGTTTTTAATTTGCTGCAGAATTTTAGCAATTTATTTTGATGCCAGGGGTGTGTGCAAATGTCCCTGTCTTCACACCATCTCCAATATTAGTTATCACCTAGGAAACCTTTGCAAATAGTGTGAAATATTCTGTCAACTTTCTCCTGGTTTCATGACTTTACTTCTAAAATTAAAAAAAAACAACCTGCATCCATTGGCCGTGGGTACTTCTTATTTTGTGTATTGTATGCTTTGCCTTTTATTCTTATATTCTGATATGACATTATTGATTTATAAACCTTCATTTATTTACAGACATTAAATATTGCCAGCATGCAATATTATGCTCACGTTTTTCCACTTTATTTATGATTTTTTGTTTTGTTTTGTTTTGAGACTGAGTTTAGCTCTTGTTGCCCAGGCTGGAGTGCGGTGGCGCCATCTTGGCTCACTGCAACCTCCACCTCCAGGGTTCAAGTGATTCTCCTGCCTCATCCTCCCAAGTAGCTGGGATTACATGTGCCTGTCACCACACCCAGCTAATTTTTATATTCTTAGTAGAGATGGGATTTCACTATGTTGATGAACAGGCTGGTTTTCCTGAGTTTTTCCTTTATTCTAAGACATGAAAACCCTTGGAGGAGTTCCAGGTTGACAGATGATGCTGTATTTTCTTTCCTAGGTAGCTTCTCAGATGCTGACCTTGCAGATGGCGTTTCAGGTGGAGAAGGTACAGTTACCTTGTTTTCTGTCTCTTTTCTCTCTCCATCCCATGATGCCCACCTGCTCTGCAGAATCACTACAGGGTCTAAACTCTCAGCCCTCTGTGAACTCACAGTGAAATGTTCAGTCATTTCTGTGGGAACTGCCCGTTTGCTGAGGCTTCAAGGATGTGGGAAGTAAAGGCTGCCCCATAGAGGATCGGTCCTGGGAGAAGAGTTCAGGGCCCAGGCAGCTGCCCCACTTTTCTGAGGGACAGGGCCTGTTGAATGGGCCCTTCTCACCACCTCCTCACCTATCCATTCACCTGTGTATTCTTGCGAATAGCTAGTGTTGTTTCAGCTTCGTTTTATTGGGCTGTTTTCTGTAATTTAAGGAACGTGAATATTAAAGCCCTAAGAATAAAGAGATAATGCCTGGGAGTACAGGTTCTCAGAGTACCCCTCGAGTGTAACAGGCAGCACCCCAGCTCTGTAGCTGGGTAACATGCACTCCCATAGAGTGTAACAGGCAGCATCCCAGCTATACAGCTGTGTAACATGCACCCCCACAGAGTGTAATAGGCAGGACTCAAGCTCTGTAGCTGGGTAACATGTATCCCCGTAGAGTGTAAGAAGCAGGACCCCAGCCTCTTCACGGTCCTGGCTGTGAATTTTTCCTTGATCCCAAATCTTCCAGGTACAGATTGTCAGCAGACGTTGCTTTTGTGTTGCAGGAAAAGGAGGCGGTGATGGTGGAGGAAGCCACAGGAAAGAAGGGGAGGAGGGTAGGTGCACCTGGCTTCTGCCGTTTTTCTTCTTGTCTCTCCCATGTGATGTTGAGAAGGGGAAGCAGAATGTCTGAGAGCTGGCAGACTACACTGGCATCGGCCTCCTGAAGCTACTGGCAGGAGACACGGGTGTTCTGTGCCCAGTGCTCCCAAGTGGTATAGCCACAGAGGTCCCCCCAGCAAACCAGCCCTGTTCCAGGTGCCCACGTGACCCAGATTTTACATTTGGTCACCTGCCCATGATGCTCTGGCTGGCGATCTGATCCCTACATCATGCTTAGCCTTGTCCTTGTGTTTACTAAAGCTCCTACACTCACCCTAACGATCAGAAGCTTGTGACGTGGCATCCTCGGTTGCACTTGGCCCTTGAGAACGTCAGTGACCAAGTGGGAGGTGGGAATGTGGATTGCTCCCACCCTGGCTGTAACAGGCATTATGTTCTCCATGAAAGTGCTGGTGATGTATCTCCTGTCTCCTTTTTCATAACCTTTTCCCTTAGATGGGACAAGAAAATAACAACAGAAAGAATTCCTTTTAAAACTGTAAAGAAAAAAAAAAATGAGGTAAGAGAAAGAGAAAGTAGGGAGGAAGGAAGAAGGGAAGGAAAGAAGGAAGGAGGGATGGAGAGAGAGAAGGAAGGAAGGAGGAAAGAAGGAAAGAAGGAAGGAAGAGAGGGAAGGGAGGAAGGAAGGGAGGAGGAAGGGAGGGTGGGAGGAAGGAAAAGAAAGAGGAAGGGAGGGAGGGAGGAGGGAGGGAGGAAGGAAGGACAAGAAAGACGGAGGGAGGGAAAAGAGGAAGGGAGGAGGAAGAAGAAGGGAGGGAGGGAGGGAAGGGAAAGGGGAGGGAGGGGGGGGAAAGAAGGAAAGCAGGAGAAGGGAGGAGGAAAGGAAGGAAGGAATGAAGGAGAAGGGAGGAAAGGAAGGAAGGAGAGAGGGAAACAGAAGAAAAGAAGGAAAGAGGGAAGGAGAGAGGAGAGACAGAAGAGAGGGAGGGCGAGGACAATAGCTTCGTATTTTAGTGTCTCACATCTCTCAAATTCTCATGGACTTTGCTTCTAGCAAAATGCCTGGTTTTAAGCAGCTTCTTTGGCAGAAGAGGTACTAACTTGGCCAAAGATTTTAATACCTGTTTGCCATTTTAATCGCTGATAAAATGTGAATTCTTAAAATGTTTGTGGAAAAAGAAAAGTGGGTAGTCTACCCTTGTTTTAGGTAGTTATTATTTTTATGGATACAGTTCTTGAATTCTAGGCTTTCTTTGAAGAGGTAGTAATCTGTCTGTAGCCCTCACCTGGGACTGCAAGGTCATTTAAAAAAAAATAGCTAAGAAAAGCCATGTCTGGCATGTTTATGGCAGGCCGTCGCTCTTGGCCTTCTGGAGAGTTCGTGTTTACTATGCCACTTCATCAGGGAGGGGTAGCTAAGCTGGAAAAGTCTTTCCATGACATGACTGTGTCTTGCACATATTAAAGACTGGCCGAGTGAACACACCACCCACAGACCATGTTTGGAGCCAGTGTTTTTGCTGAAAGTCAGACAATTCTCCTTCCCCGTCATGGAGGGCAGAGAAGATTCTATCTGGAGAAGGGTCCTCTAAAGCTCACATCTGGCATTTGGAATTAAGAATCTCTTCATTGGCTGGGTGCCATGGCTCACACCTGTCATCCCAGCACTTTCATGGCTCACACCTGTCATCCCAGCACTTTGGGAGGCTAAGGCGGGAGGATTGCATGAGACCAAGAGTTCAAAATCAGCCTGGCCAACATGGTGAAACCCCTTCTCTACAAAAAATACAAAAATTAGGCCAGGTGTGGTGGCTCACGCCTGTAATCCCAGCACTTCGGGAGGCCAAGGTGGGTGGATCACTTGAGGTCAGGAGTCTGAGACCAGCCTGGTTAACATGGTGAAACCCCATCTCTACAAAAAATACAAAAATTAGCAGGGCATGTAGCATGCACCTATAGTCCCAGCTACTCGAGAGGCACAAGAATTGCTTGAACCCGGGAGGCAGAGGCTGCAGTGAACTGAAATCGTGCCACTGCACTCCAGCCTGGGTGACAAAGTAAGACTGCATTTCAAAAAAAAAAAAAAAAAATTAGCCAGTGGTGGTGGCACGTATCTGTAATCCCAGCTACTTGGGAGGCTGAGGCAGGAGACTAGCTGGAACCCGGGACGCAGAGGTTGCAGTGAGCCGAGACTGCACCATTGCACTCCAGCCTGGGCAACACAGCAAGACTCTGTCTCCCAAAAACAAAAAAGAATTATTGCTGGAATGACATTTTTTAAAAAATAGGCTGGGTGTGGTGGCTCATGCATGTAATCCCAGCATTTTGGGAGGCCCAGGCAGGCAGGTTGCTTTAGGCTGGGAGTTCGAAATCAGACTGGGCAACATAGCAAGACCCCAATTCTATAAAACCACAGTAATTAACCAGACATGGTGGTGCACACCTGTAGTCCCAGCTACTTGGAAGGCTGAAGTGGGAGGATCTCACAAGCCCAGGAAGATTGCGGTGAGCTATGATTGCATCATTGCACTGCAGCCTGTTTGACAGAGTAAGAACCCATCTCAAAATAATAAACAATAATAATAAATAATTAAATAGATATGGATTTAAAATATTTGCATTGAAACCCAAAGCTGTTTTCAGGGTGTGAAAAAGGAATATTCTAACGATACAGAACGCTATGGCAAAGCACCAAGCATTGCAGGTCTTTGCTTCTTCATCTTCTGCCCCTACCTGGGCTCTTTCCTCCAGGTTTGATGTCCAGCTCTCTCTTTCTTTTTTGTTTTGTTTTGTTTTGAGATGGTGAATTGCTCTGTCACCCAGGCTGGAGTGCGGTGGCACGATCTCGGCTCACTGCAACCTCCGCCTCCCGGGTTCAAGCGATTCTCCAGACTCAGCCTCCCGAGCAGCTGGGATTAGAGGCGCACGCCCCTACTCCCAGCTTTGTATTTTTCGTAGAGACAGGTTTTACCATGTTGACCAGGCTGGTCTCGAACTCCTGACCTCAGGCGATCCACCCATCCACCCGCCTTGGCCTCCCAAAGTGCTGGGATTACAGGTGTGAGCCATTGCGCCCAGACCCAGCTCTCTCTTTCCATAGGTCTTTGTCTGTCTTTGTCTCTGCCTTGGTTCTGCTGAGCTTCTTCCTGTACCTCGCTGGCCCCTCTTCATGTCTCTTTTCTCCCTGCTCCACTCCCTCTACGGTCCGACCAGGTCTGCCCAGCACGACTGGCGATGGGAGACTGTGCCTTGCTTTGCCTTCCTGTGTACCATTCTCGGCGTGCTCCCTTTGCAAATCGGTCAGCTCGGGTGACTGAGATGTTCTGAGGATCTTGGTGCTCTCAGACTGACTGTCTCTGCCAGCCACTGCTCCCTGGGATCTTCTCTGCACCGTGCGTGTCTCAGTCATGATGCTGTGTGCTTCCTCCTGCAGCGGACGCCCCAGGTGTGATCCCCGGGATTGTGGGGGCCGTCGTGGTCGCCGTGGCCGGAGCCATCTCTAGCTTTATTGCTTACCAGAAAAAGAAGCTGTGCTTCAAAGAAAACGGTAAGGCTCGCTCCGCCAGTGCCGCTCCTTCATGCCTTGCTGATTGGAAAACTGCTTTCTTTAAAAGGCAGAGACCAAACTCGGGCTGGCACCAAACAGGTGCATGATGACTGGTGGTTCGTGAAACCACTAAAACTTTGGAATCAGACCTTCTGGCTTTGATTCCAGGGCTGTTCTGCCTTGTGTTTCGTTGTGTGAAAGGTTACAAGTTCCTCACTGCTGCAGTGCTTGGGTTTTTTACGTCCACAAAGTGGGAAATGGTTGGTACATACGCCGAGGAATGGTTGCGGGGGCTAGAGACAGTCCTGCAGGAAAGCCTCCACAAGTTCCCCTGCAGAGAGCGAACGTGGAAGACACTTAGCTCTGATGATTCCTGCCTTGTTATTTACAATCAATGTCATCATTAGGAGGAGAGCCGTGATGAGGGGCCTGTCACGGTCCTTTCTTCACCCAGGAGAGTTAAGTTAAAACCCAGCACAAGGCCGGACACAGTGGCTCACAGCTGTAATCCCAGCAATTTGGGAGGCCGAGATGGGTGGATCATGAAGTCAGGAGATCGAGACCATCCTGGCTAACATGGTGAAACCCCATCTCTATTAAAAATACAAAAAATTAGCCGGGTGTGGTAGTGGGCGCCTGTAGTCCCAGCTACTCGGGAGGCTGAGGCAGGAGAATGGCATGAACCCAGGAGGCAGAGCTTGCAGTGAGCCGAGATTGCACCACTGCGCTCCAGCCTGGGTGACAGAGCGAGACTCCGTCTCAAAAAACAAAACAAAACAAAAACCAGCACTCCCTTTCTGTTACTACTGAAAACCCACAAGCACCTAGGACCTGGGAAGTTTCTTGGGTCGGGACTAAAATTTACGGGGGAATTAGGAGGAGCACGTACTCACCATTGCAGTCCTCCTAGGCCAGTCAGCAGGCTCTTTGGGATCTCGTATTCAAAAGTCCCTAAATCATTTAGGATCCACCATGAAGTTGGGAAGTAAACCCTGCTATTTGGAACACAGCTAACGTGCATGCATCACTGGGCAGTTATATTTAGCTCTGGCCTCCCTCTTGCATGACCAAGCAGTGTGGTTTGCAGGGATCTCATCGACTGGGAACAGCTACTCTTATTTTTTATCTTTTTTCTTGAGGCAGAGTTTTGCTTTGTTGCCCAGGCTGGAGTGCAGTGGCGCCATGTCGGCTCACTGCGTCCTCCAGCCCCCCAGGTTCAAGCGATTCTCCTGCCTCAGCCTCCTGAATAGCTGGGATTATAGGCGCCCGCCACCACGCCTGGCTAATTTTTGTATTTTTAGTAGAGACTGGGTCTCACCATGTTGGCCGGGCTGGTCTCCAACTCCGGACCTCAAGTGATCTACCCGCCTCAGCCTTCCAAAGTGCTGGGATTACAGGTGTGAGGCACCACACCCGGCCAACAACTACGGTTTTATGGAGGAGCCCCTGGGGTCCTTCACGCCTCTGGGTGTCTGAACGTCTCACCCTACTTAGATCTTAAGTCCTGACTCATTCTTGGTCACTGATGTCATCCACCCAAAGCACTGCTTCCTGAAGATTTTAGGGAGATTCCTAGAACATTTGAATAGATGCTGGTATGGACAAAGGTAGACCGTAGGGTTGGAGTTTCCCCGCAATCTTCCATCATTCCAGCATTTGACCTCCACAGCCGTTATTTAGAGTGTAAAATGGAGAGTCCTAAACAGCTTTCAGGTCTCAAGACTTTAAACGAGCTGCTGGTGTTTATATCGCCATTCTTGCTGTGGGGTTTTGGGCAGTGTGTGGAAGACAGTTGCCTCCTACCTGGTGGGTGGACTAGTGGGAATGGTGTTTGTTTGTTTGTTTGTTTGTTTATTTGTTGAGATGAAGTCTCAGTCCGTCACCCAGGCTGGAATGCAATGGCTCCATCTCGGCTCACTGCAACCTCCACCTCCCGGGTTCTCCCACCTCAGCCTCCCAAGTAGCTGGGATTACAGGTGCACACCACCACGCACGGCTAATTTTTGTTTTTTTAGTAGAGATGGAGTTTCATTATGTTGGTCAGGCTGGTCTCGAACTCCTGACCTTGGGTGATCTGCCCACCATGACCTCCCAAAGTGCTGGGATTGCAGGCATAAGCCGCCGTGCCCAGCTGCTGTTTGGCTGATTGAATGGCAGTGTTGAGCGAGGCCCAAATGGACAGATTACCACCTTCAAGGAGATGCCTATGAGACCTACAATTAGAACCACGTTGGAAAAAAGCAAACAGCAAAACATTCTTCTCCCCTCTTGCTGCTTCTAGAAGTAGCAGAGAGGTTAAAACAGTAGGGACACAATGGAAGGGAATTTGTGTTTCCTTTTCAATGACATTTCTTTTTCTTTTCTGAAACTGTTCAACTCACAGTGTAATATTCAACCAGGAGGTAAGGAAGGCTTGTTTGCTAGGACAGGATGTGTAATATTCTAGATGTTTTATTTCAAACTCTCGTTTTTTTTTTTGTTTGTTTGTTTGTTTTGAGACGGAGTGTCGCTCTGTCACCCCGAGTGGAATGCAGTGGTGCAATCTCGGCTCACTGCAACCTCTGCCTCCTGGGTTCAAGCAATTCTCCTGCCTCAGCCTCCCAAGTAGCTGGAATTACAGGTGTGCATCACCACACCCGGCTAATTTTTATGTTTTTAGTAGAGACGGGGTTTCACCATGTTGAACACACTGGTCTCGAACTCCTGACCTCAGGTGATCCCTCCATCTTGGCCTCCCAAAGTGCTGGGATTATAGGCGTGAGTCAAAGCACCTGGCCTCTAGCTCTTTTTTAGAATCCCAGATAATTGTTGAACACTTTCGCATTAAACTACAAAATCTCTGACTGATGATTCTCTGAAAATCTTTGGGTCAACCCAAATTGGATTCATGAGTTGCAAAGGATGTTTATTACCATGTGTATGCGGTGTTAGGAACTTTTGGGATCTTGTAATGCTATTTCATATTCACATCCTGTATTAGTCTGTTTTCACACTGCTATGAAGAACTGCCTAAGACTGGGTAATTCATGAAGGAAAGAGGTTTAATTGATTCACAGTTCAGCATGGGCGGGGAGGCCTCAGGAAACTTACAATCATGGCAGAAGGGGACGCAATGCACCATCCCATTATCATGAGAACAGCATGGGGGAACCTCCGCCATGATTCAGTGACCCCCACCTGGTCTCTCTCTTGACACGTGGGGATTATGGGAATTACAATTCAAGATGAGATGTGGGTGGAGACACAGAGCCTCACCATGTCACATCCCAAGACACACAAACTTGGGAAGGCACCCAGGAGGGTTAATAGGCTTGATTTGGTCAAAAATTTGGAAATAGAGTTGGGAAAAGGAAAAACAATATTTCCTCTGCCTTATCCGCGCCCCCAGCCCTGGGTCTTGGTCTCGGGTGGGAGCATTATCTTCATTTATTGCAGGAGGTGGGGCAGGCATGAACAATGAAAGATCTCACTGAGTAGAAACAATTTTCCTAGATTTTTCAAGAACAAAAGCAAATGTGTCCCGGCCTGGTGGCCCATACCTGTAATCCCAGCACTTTGGGAGTCTGAGGAAAGAGGATCGCGTGAGCCCAGGAGTTCAAGATCAGCTTGGGCAACATAACAAAACCTCATCTCTACAAAAAATGTAAAAAATTAGCTGGGCGTGCTTGCGTATGCCTGTGGTCCCAACTACTCTGGAGGCTGAGGCCTGAGGATTGCTTGAGCCCAGGAATTGGAAGCTGCAGTAAGCCATGATTGCACCACTGCACTCCAGCCTGGACGACAGATAGAGACCCTGTCTCTAGATATAAAAATAAAAATTAATTTTTTTTTTTTTTTTTTGAGACGGAGTCTCTCTGTGTCACCCAGGCTGGAGTGCAGTGGCGCGATCTCGGCTCACTGCAGCCTCTGCCTCCCAGGTTCAAGGGATTCTCCTGCCTCCACCTCCCAAGCACCTGGGACTACAGGCGCGTGCCACCACGCCCAGCTAATTTTTCATATTTTTAGTAGAGACAGGGTTTCACCGTGTTAGCCAGGATGATCTTGATCTCCTGACCTCATGATCTGCCCGCCTCGGCCTCCCAAAGTGCTGGAATTATAGGCGTGAGCCACTTCGTCCGGCCCCCAAAATAATTTTTTTTAAAAAAGCATCCTTTCTGAAGAATTGACTCAGGGGAGTCCAAGATTCACTTTATACTACTGAGATGCTAGGGTAATTTTCTTCTAATATTTTCCATAAGTCTTTTATTCTGATGCCAAATTAACAGAAGGTCCAACTTTCAATTCCTGGTTTGCTTTCTAGTTGTCCAGGGATTGATTTTCTTGGCCTTTTGTAAATGCACAAATCAAAGGACCAAAAAGAAAATAAATAAAGCATAATAAGAGAAGCAAGAGATGGTGAAACCCCATCTTTACTAAAAATACAAAAATTAGCTGTGCCTGGTTGTAGGTGTCTATAATCCCAGCTACCTGGGAGGCTGAGGCAGTGAATTGCTTGAACCTGGGAGGCGAAGGTTGCCGTGAGCCAAGATTGTGCCACTGTACTCCAGCCTGGACAATAGAGCGAGACTCTGTCTCAAAAAAAAAAAAAAAGAAAAAAAAGAAAACGAAAACAAGGCTCTATTCTATAAATACCAAGACGCTGCCTCAAAAGAGGACTTTTCCAACTGCGTCCACTCACATCTTGGTTTTTATACCTGAATTATAAAATGAGTTTAATGTTTATCTCAGTGACACAGTTTTATTAGTAGACATGGAATTGCAATGTTGGATCAAGGTATCCGGAAGACGAAAGAAGTCAGAGCCCTCAGCCTCTGTGGCAGGATTTTGCTTTATGGGTTTGATTTCTGGGATGGTGATTTTGAGATCTTGCAATCCCATAGGTTTATGGGAGCTTGGAGATTTCATAAGAAGGATGTGAGTATAGCATGCCCTGGTCCTTCAAGAAACCATGGGCCAGGTGCGGTGGCTCATGCCTGTAATCCCAGCACTTTGGGAAGCTGACGCAGGCGGATCACCTGAGGTCAGGAGTTTGAGGCCATCCTGACCAACATGGTGAAACCTCGGCTTTACTAAAAATACAAAAATTAGCCAGGCATGGTGGCACACACATGTAATCCCAGGTACTTGGGAGACTGAGGCAGGAGAATCGCTTGAACCCGGGAGGCAGAGGTTGCAGTGAGCCAAGATCAAGCCATTGCATTCCAGCCTGGGGACAAGAGCGAGACTTTATCTCCGAAAAAGAAAGAAAAGAAACCATGCCCAGTTTTGGGGATACCGTTACAGACTCATTTTCCAGGACTGTGTCATTGCATTGAAATTTGCAGTGTTTGTTAAATTTGCATTAAAATTAGTCCCAGGCAAGTGGGTAGACATAGGTGAGTCTTCCGCATCTTTCCAACAAGGAGATGCTGTCATCAAATCCCATAGCTTGATATAGATTTATCGAGAAGCTTTGCAGTGTTAGGTTTTGGGGCTCACGGATTAGAAACTCCTTGTGGAATCAGACGGCTCTGTCTGTTATATGTTGGTGCAAAACTAACTGCGGGTTATGGCATTAAAAGTAATAGCAACATAGCAAGGCCTCGTGTCTACAAAAAATGTAAAAAAGAAAATTAGCTGAGTGTGGTGGCTCTCAGCTAATCTTTTACCTTTTTTTTTTTTTGTGGAGACACAGTCTTGCTATGTTGCCATTACTTATAATGGCAAAAACCACAATTACTTTTGCACCAGCCTCCCTTCTTCCCTTCCTACAGATTTGAGTTTGTGGTGCTTGGGCTTCCCCTGGTTTTTGTCCACATGATATGAAGGGGCCTGTTTAAGCTGCTTCTCTCATGCACTCGGGGTCTGTGACTTCGCATCTGGGTGTGTTGGCTTCATGGAGGACCTGGCTCAGACCACTAACCCCACGGAGCCTGACCGCTTCTCACCAAGCCCAGCTTCCGTGGTTGGCATGGGGTGTTAAGGACGCTGTCCTTTGGGTGTGGTGGCTGGTCCTAACGCTCTGTTTACCAGGGTCCTGGGCTCACAGTGGGTTTCTTGAGGCTTTGGCAAGATGGGCTATTGGCTCTCCCTGCCTCCTTCTTTCTCTTCTTCTCTGCCTTTCTTCCTTCCCTCCTCCTTTCTTTACCCCTCCCCCTTTCTTTCCTCTCTTCCTTCCCTGCTTTTCTCTTTCTTCCTTTGCCCTCAATTCTCTTTCTTTTCATTCTTTCTTGAACTCTCTCTCTTTCTTCCTCCCTCCCTCCCTTCCATCCCTCCTTCCCTTCCATCCTTCCTTCTTTTCCTCCTTTTTTCCTTTTTCTCTCTTCCTTTTCTCTACCTCTTTCTTTCTTCCTTCGCTTTTCTTCTTATGTACCTCTTTCCTTTTTTCTCTCTCCCTTCTTTCCTTCCATCCCTCCCTCCTTCTTTCCTTTTTCTCCCTCCATCCTTTTTTCTCCCTCCATCCCTTCCTCCTTTCCTTCCTTCCTTTCTTTTTTCTTCTCTCTATTCTTCCTCTCTTCATCCATCTCTCCTTTTCTTACATGCCTCTTTCCTCCTCTCTCCCTCCTTTCCTCCTTCCCCCCTCCTTTTCTTCCTTCCTTCCCTTCCTCCCTCCCTCATTTCCCTCCTCCCTGCTTCACTTCTTCCTCCCTCCTTTCCTCCCTCTCTCCATACCTCCCCCTTTCCTTTTTTCCAACCTCCTTCCCTCCTTGTTCCTTCCCTCTCTTTCTGCCTTCCTCCCTTCCTTTCCCCCATTCCTCCTTCCTTCCTCCCTCCTGCCCTCCCTGTTCCCTGCCTCCCTCCCTGCCTTCCTCTGTCTCTCCCTTCCTCCACTCCTTAATTTTGGTTTCCACTTCCCGCTCTCACACTTTCAGCCTCTTATCCCGTTACCTCCTTGCTCAGAGCAGCTCTTTCTAACACCTCCCTGCTGCTGGGGGCCCCAGCGCACAGCAAAAGCAGACCTAGCACCAGTTTACTTTTTTTATTATTATTTTTTTGTCTCTTTCAACCTTCCATTTCAGATGAGCTGAAGACCTAGGGGTGAGCAGAGAACCCAGCCCAGGCCTGCGGAGCATCCTGACCGTAATCGTTTTATCTGCTAAGATGCAGCCTTAAAGCAAACCCTTCCATCTGCCACTCCCCTCGCCCCGCTGGCAAATTCCCACCACAATGGGATTCTCACTCACATGACGGATTCTCTGCCTTCAATTCCATATGCTTTTGCCTTTGTTGATGCACAGAAGCTCATTATAGCAAATCATATTTCTGCATAAGAGCTTCAGAAAATGAAGAGAAGTACAGATATGTTCTTTTAAACGTAAATGTAACAGGGCAGTGACTTTCATGTTTTAATGAGTTTTGTCCCCAAGACCATCCCTGCCAAGGGAACAAACTGGGACCCGGGGTGGCCACCCACTTCCCTGCAGTATCCTAGGTTAAGCTCACTCACGTCCTAAGGATTTGACTTTCCAGGTCATGCATGGATTTTTAAATCTTCAACCTTTTCAGCCCTTGACTTGCATTTCTCACTGCACTTCCTATGAAGCGGTTCTTAACTCTTTCTGTGATCCGTGTTCCAAACAGGTGCATATCTTGGTTCCTAGAAAAACAAAATTCATATGTTGAGCAATCACCCGAACATCTCCTGATCTTCACATTCTAAGGCCTGTTGGGAATTGGTGGGTGGTCGGGTCCCTATTCACACATCTGAGCACAGAGCCTCCCCGGGCATCTTCTTCAGATTCTCCCATATGCCTGAAACACACAGATTGTACCTGGATTTTCCTTCCGTTTCTGAAGTCCACCAACTTGTTCTTTTTCTTTCACTTCTCTTATTTCTTTTTTTCTTTCTTTCCATTTTTTCTTACTTCTTTTCCTTCTATTTATTTTACTTTTCTTCTTTGTTATATGTTATTTCTTTTTCTTTTTTTGCTTTTCTTCTTTTTTCATTTTTCTTTGATTTATTTTTTGAGATGAAGTCTCACTCTGTTGCCCAGGCTACAGTGCAGTGGTGCAATCTTGGCTCACTGCAACCTCCACCTCCTGGGTTCAAGCGATTCTCCTGCCTCAGCCTCCTGAGTAGCTGGGACTATAGGCACACACCACCCCACACCCAGCTAATTTTTGTATTTTTAGTAGAGACGGGGTTTCTCCATGTTGGCCAAGCTGGTCTCAAACTTCTGACCTCAGGTTATCTGCCTGCCTCAGCCTCCCAAAGTGCTGGGATTACAGGCGTGAGCCACTGTGCCTGGCCCTTTTTCTTTTTTCTTATTCCTTTTACTTTTCTTGTTTCTTATTTCTTTTTCTCTTATTTCTTTTTTCTTATTTGTTTTCCTTTTTGCTTTTTCTTTTTTAATCTTACTTATTTTACTTATTTTTCTTTTTTTACTTTTATTCTCCATTTTTCTTCATTCTTTTCCTCTTATTTCTTTGACTTTACTGATTTCTTTTTTTTTTTTTTCTTGTTTTCCTCTTTTTTCATATTCCTTTGCTTTTTTCTTATTTTACTTTTCTTATTTGCCCTCTTGTGGAAATGAGGCACAGCCTCCCTTATGGTTTAGCTGTAGTTCTAGCTGAGCACGGATGGTTTGATCCTCCTGTGTTGGGGCACTGTATGGTGTGAGGGCACAAAACCCTGACCCACATGGGTCTGGTCACCTCACAGAGGTCACCTTTACAGCCCCCCACTCTTTGAAGGATGTGTCCCAAGGTGTCTCAAGTCTGATGCAATGAAAGCTGCCCCCTAGTGACCACAGGACTGAGTCCAGAATGTCCTGTGTGTTTCCCAAAATGTCTGTCCTAACACCATTTAAAGATTAGCCACTGATAGACAGCGATCCGCAGGTATATGGTCTCAGGATTGGCCCCAAGTGCATGGTGTGTGTGTGTATAAATATATATTCACAAAGCATAGGGACCCATTAAAGGCATATTACTTTGCTTAATGGTTCTAATGCTAAAAATGATTTCTAACCTGAAAGAAAAGCACTACGAATTGTTTGAAGTTGACTTGTCAGATGTGGTGTGCTTGGTCTAAGTTTTGAGAGGAAGGGTACGTGGTGGGGGTGTACGGAGCATCTCATGAGACCAGTTCTCCTGAGAGGTCTGTGATATTGGAACTGTTGCCCCAGATGGACTTTGCCCTTGTGAGACTTTATTCTTTTCAATTGACTTTTTCCCTCTTTAAAACTTGCCAGCTTTTATGTAGTGTTTTATAAAATTAACAGGAATAAAAAGAATATCTTTTATGCTTTTTAACCAATGAGGGGGGAAGGAGAAATTATTTGTCCTCTGAAATGAATGCACGTTTTCAGTTTCTAGCCAGGACAGTTGGCTGCAAAATGCACCCGTGTTGACAACTTGCCACCAGCAGAACAAATGACATTTGTGCTGAATATTTTCAGATCATTTCGAATGTTCTCCTCTTTGGGGGTTTTTCCTCTCTTTCTTTTTCTTAAATCATAGAACTTGGGCCTCTTTTTGTGGGAGTCATTTAGTGGTTAGGGAAGAATGGCTGAAACCATGAGTTCGTGTAGTATAAACTGGTGAGGCTGCCTCTGCTGCTGTCGTTAAAAGTTACACTCCTGGCTCGGCACGGTGGTTCACACCTGTACTCCCAGCACTTTGGGAGGCTGAGGCGGGCAGAGCACGAGGTCAGGAGATTGAGACTATCCTGGGGAACACGGTGAAACCCCGTCTCTACTAAAAATACAAAAAATTAGCCGGGCGTGGTGGCGGGCACCTGTAGTCCCAGCTACTCGGGAGGCTGAGGCAGGAGAATGGCGTGAACCCTGGAGGCGGAGGTTGCAGTGAGCCGCAATCACGCCACTGTATTCTAGCCTGAGTGGCAGAGCGAGACTCTGTCTCAAAAAAAAAAAAAGGTACATTGCTGCACCATACAAACGTGTCCCTTTATGAAGGCATTCGAACCACAGATGGGGCCGTTTTACAAATAGTACGGTCTTTGTGAGTGGGAAACGCATGGCCACAGATTTGATGAGCTGCTTCTGCCGCTTCCCTTTGTGTTGAAAACGTGGGTGTTTCTTCATACCAACACTGGAAAGAAATAAATACATATAGATATGTGCATCTCTTACGCGTTTCCAATTCTGTTGGCTTATGCTGTGCGTCGGAAAAGAAGCGACACCGACAACATTTGGGGAGATGACCCTGTTTGCATTGTGGCATGTTTGAAACATTTTTTAATAGAAATTTGGGAATAGAGGGCCAGGCGCCATGGCTTAGGCCTATAGTCCCAGCACTTTGGGAGGCTGAGGCGGGCGGATCACAAGGTCAGGAGATTGAGACCATCCTGGCTAACACGGTGAAACCCCAACTCTATTAGAAATACAAAAAATTAGCTGGGCATGGTGGTGCATGCCTGTAATCCCAGCTACTCTGGAGGCTGAGGCAGGAGAATCGCTTGAACCCAGGAGGCGGAGGTTGCAATGAGCTGAGATCGCGCCACTGCACTCCAGCCTGGGCGACAGAGCAAAACTCTGTCTCAAAAAAATATTAATAATAATTTAAAAAAAAATAAATTTGGGAATAGAAACAAGACGGGGAAAAATGCTGGAGGAGGAAGAAAACTGGGCACACAAGACCCCTTGGCTCTCTTGTCCTTTGGTGGCCTGGGCGGCTCTTAGTGGTCTGAGTCCTCACTTATCTCACTCTGCATTCTGGGGGAGGTAGAAGGCGGGGTAGGAGAGCCGATTCAACCTGAGAAGGATGATCAGTGGGGGGTATATAAAGAAAGAAAGTCCTGTTTCCCCAGGTACTGAAAAGATGCTAATCTGCTGAGATTCTCTGCATTTATTTTTATTTATTTTAATTTTTATTTTGGGACAGTCTCGCTCTGTCACCCACGCTGGAGTGCAGTGCCATGATCTTGGCTCACTGCAACCTCCGCCTCTTGGGTTCAAGTGATTCTCCTGCCTTAGCCTCCCAAATAGCTGGGACTACAGGTGCACACCACCACGCCCAGCTAATTTTTGTATTTTTAATAGAGACAGGGTTTCACCATGTTGGCCAGGATGGTTTTGATCTCTTGACCTTGTGATCTGCCCACCTGGGCCTCCCAAAGTGCTGGGATTACAGGTGTGAGCCACTGTGCCCAGCCTCTGCATTTGTTTTTATTTATTTATTTTTATTTTGAGACAGTCTCGCCCTGTCACCTAGGCTGGAGTGCAGTAGTGCGATCTCAGCTCACTGCAACCTCCATCTCCTGGGTTCAAACGATCCTCCTGCCTAAGCCTCCTGAGTAGCTGGAAGTACAGGTGCACACCACCACACCCAGCTAAATTTTGTATTTTTTAGTAGAGACGGGGTTTCACCATGTTGGCCAGGCTGGTCTCGAACTCCTGACCTCAAGTGATCCACCTGCCTCAGCTTCCCAAAGTGCTGGGATTACAGGCGTGAGCCACCGCACCCAGCCGTGTGCATTTGTTTGATGAGTTTGGGGGCAGTTATTAAGAATCTTATTTTCATAGATGCATGTACTTTTATTTGTATATGTATAGAAAGGGCTTCCATGTGCGTGTTCCTCAGTGTTTAGGGAGAAGAAAGCAACCCTTAAAATAGAGGAAAATAAAGCTGCTTGGATTACCCTGTTGAAGTTTATCTCTGCCTGTGCCATGCATGCAAAAATACTGGCAGCCGGGCGCGATGGCTCATACCTGTAATCCCAGCACTTTGGGAGGCCGAGGCGGATGGATCACAAGGTCAGGAGATCGAGGCCATCCTGGCTAACACAGTGAAACCCCATCTCTACTAAAAATACAAAAAATTAGCTGGGTGTGGTGGCGGGTGCCTGTAGTCCCAGCTATTTGGGAGGCTGAGGCAGGAGAATAGCGTGAACCCGGGAGGCGGAGCTTGCAGTGAGCGGAGATGGCACCACTGCGCTCCAACCTGGGTGACAGAGCAAGACTCCGTCTCATACAAAAAGAAAAAGAAAAAATACTGGCAAAGTCTTCACTGAGTTGAGTGTTAGACTCCATATTCCCAGTGGGTCTTGGGGTTCAGAACTGAGTGCTCTCATCCAAGCAATAGGAGCGTCAACCTCAGGAAAGCCCAAGTATTTTGTGTGTATTTTGAGGAGAGGGTTCTCTGTTGCACTGAGCCTCTCTGTGTGTTTTCTTCTTGTTTTCAGCAGAACAAGGGGAGGTGGACATGGAGAGCCACCGGAACGCCAATGCAGAGCCAGCTGGTAAGAAGGACGGGGAACAGCGGTTCGCACACGTGGCCAGTGTTCCCATTTTATCTTCTCCATGCTCTCCCAACTTGCTGTCCTGCTCACATTCTCAAATTTGGTTGCATGGCTTTGAAGGTCTTCCTTTATGTCTCGTTGCTTTTGAGGGATACTTTCAAGAGACAATGAATGTATAAACTTCCTAGGGCCTGGGCCTTCAGAGAAGACCTATATGTGCCTAAGTCTCTGTTTAACAAAATATTAAGGAAGTTTTCCCAGGAGTTCGAGACCAGCCTGGTCAACATGGTGAAACCCCGTCTCTACTAAAAATACAAAATTAGCTGGGTGTGGTGGTGGGCGCCTGTAATCCCACCTACTTGGGAGGCTAAGGCAGAAGAATCACTTGAACCCCAGAGGTAGAGGTTGCAGTGAGCCGAGATCGTGCCAC